GACCGCCCTCCAAAGACTGCGTGCTGCAAACCATCCGTTGAGATCATTATCAAAATTCCCTGGGGATGCGTCGTCGAAAGGAGCCAACTTTTCCCCGCCATATCAGCCCACTCCGAATTACTCTTACCACTCTGACGGTGCATTCTCAAGAGGTAGTTAGTGGGAGAGTCACAGATTAGGGTAACCTCTTGAGCGTCTTCCCTGCTAACTAGGTGTCTTGTGCTGCACGAATACCTGTTTTCTCCTTCAAGCAAGTAAGTTCTGGCTCAAACAACCGCCTGGCCATTAAAAATACAATACGATACAATATCTTAAAGTTCAATAACACAAACAAACGAGCGGGCTGGATCCAGTCTTAGTCATGCTAAAAGTCAACGTCCCGCTCTGTTCTAAGAAGGGTTGCATCTGGACCGAGGAGAGACAAAGGCACAGTAAAACGAGTAATATTTAAAAAAAGAAGTTCCAGGAGGGCAGCAGCTACGCTGATGCATAACGCAGTTAACCAAAACGTGATTTTGTCTTGGATAAAGTGAACACGAGAGCGAGCAGCGGAAAGTCAATTGTTGTTGATCATGGCTGATAAGCCAGGGATCCCCGGAAAAGAGCTGACTCTCCCGTCGCGCGCTGCTTTTACTTTCTTCCCCCAAATTCGGTCCCAGTGCCTTTCCGCCAGCTGCTCCTTTCTCGGGGATCCTCCTCCTCTGCTGCGCGGTTCTTCTGCTCGGGCTCTGCGCCGAGTCGAGCGATCCCTTGTAAAGAAAGGAAAGCCCGAGCACCCTCTACTGACCCATCGCGAACAGGACAGGAGGCGGCAACAACTCCCGAAGAGCAGCTGGCAGCCCCTTTTCCTTTTCCCCTGCAGAGATGGGTGATGTCTGAAATATATTCGAGTGGAGCAGAAAAAAAGGGTGGACTGCTCATCCCAAGGTCGCCTCCAGCTGGGAGCCACAGTCAGCTCTTCTGGAAACGTGTTAAAGCTTTCTTACAACCACTAGGCCAACCAAACCCGGGCAATCAGGAAACCGAGTTCCGAAAAGTTTGTAGGAAAACCCCCCCACCTGGCTCGATCTGTTCTTTTGATGTTCCCATTAGTCCATTATTAATATAGCTTCCGATTTGTGTTTTGAGGTCTCTCAAACCTTCCTCTTTCCTCTTCTTAATCTCTGCTCTGCCCCCGGTGGCCAAGTTCAGAAACGCATTTCAGCATTGTGGTAGTTATCTGCGGCAAGGAGGAAAACCTTAAAGCAAGTCTCTGTGGCGCAATCGGTTAGCGCGTTCGGCTGTTAACCGAAAGGTTGGTGGTTCGAGCCCACCCAGGGACGCTAGTTCTTTTAACCTGCAATAGTATCATACTTACTTGAAGTATATTCAAGGGCATATGATCTAGTTCTCATATTGAATTTACTGTGCTCACTTTTATTGGAGATAGAGCATATTTGGTGATATTTTTAAATTCCCAGTTCCACCCTTCCTAAGGAAAAGTTAGTCAAGCCAGAATGAAGGAGGAAAAAGGGGTTCAGAGTCCTCCACTGCTGCCCTACTCCTTTTTCCAGTTCTGTTGCAAGAGCCACAGATCAGGCAGGCTTCTCTTGACTTTTCTGAGTAGCAATGAAGAACTGAATCAAATAAATATGACAAGGCATGAAGTTCTAGGTCTCATTGACACGTGAAAAATGAATGAGTCACTGGTTCTGGATACTTCTATGAGTTTTTAAATACTTTAAATGCAAAACTTATAATAATTCAGGAAAACTATACAAGTTGATGCTAAAATGTAAAGCTGTTTTTAAACACCCACACTGACTGTTCTCAAACTTTTTTCTTTTTGAGGATCCCTTGAAAAATCACTAGAACCTTGTCAAACTGTTCTTCTGGTTCTTCAGATCACAGCTCATATGTCGCCCACATTTTAATAACATTTCACTGCCAACATCACTGTCAAAATGGTGTCATACTGGGCTATGCTGCTTATTATGACAGCCACAGACCGGGGCTTGTTAGCCTGTTTGATTATCCAACAAATACGGAATCAATATCTGGCATTGGCTGTCAAGAGCAAAGCCAAATTTAGCTATCCCTGACTATTCTGCAATGTTTCTGTGGACTGACGGAAACAAAATTCAATGTGATCTTTATAGGCTGGATTGCTGGGCTGAAATCAACAGGATGAAAATCAATAGGGAAAAACGCCAAGTTCTGCATCTAGGAAAAAGAAAACAAATTTATCATTACAAGATGGAGAATACTTGGCTCAACAATACTGCAAATGAGAAGGATCTAGGAATTGTTGTAGATCAAACTGTGATGTGGCTACAAAAAGGGCAAGTGTTATTTTGGGCTGCATTAATAGAAGTATCACTTCCAAATCATGTGAAGTACTAGTTCCCCTTCACTCAGCACTGGTTAGGCCTCATCTTGAGTGCTATGTCCACTTCTGGGCACTACATTTGAAGAAAGATGCCGACATGCTGGAAAGGGTTCAGAGGAGGGCCATGAGGATGAACTGGGTACTGAAATCAAAGCCCTATGAGAGGAGAGATGGAAAAAAATGGACATGTTTACTTCCAGAAAAGAGACCTGAGATATTATATGATATGATAGCACTCTACAAGTACTTGAAAGATCGTCACAAAGAAGACCAGGATCCCATATTGATTATTCCAGAGTGCTGGACATGGAATAATGGGCTCAAGTTCCAGGAAGCCAAGTTCTAGCTAGATATCGGGGGAAAATTCCTGACTGTTAGAGCAGTACAATTATGGAACGAACTACTCAGGAGTTTGGGGGCTCTCCCACACTAGAAGCATTCGAGATGCAGCTGGACAGCCATCTGAGAGGGAGGGTGTAACTTGAAGTCCTCCACTGAGCAGGGTGTTGGACCCGAGGGCCTTCTTGGACCTTTCCAACTCTACTGTTCTATGATTCTATAAAATAAGAGATGGGTTGAATTCATAAAGAAAGCCACAGCCAAGTGCTGAGCACAGCTGTTGACAGGACATGTTGGAGGGCATAGGTCAGGGATGGCCTGACAGCATGTGACAACAAACCATGAGAAAAGAAAGAAGAGTCCAGTGTCCTGGTCTCGCCGCCTTGTTGTGAAATCCACAGAGACAGTTGATTCATGCATGTGCTGACACTTCATTGCTGGGACACCTTGCAGTAAGAGAACTGCCTCTCTTACAATCCTGCCTCTTTATATAGCTCTAGTTAGTTTGCCCCAACTTCTACTTGAGTCATGTTTGTAAAACAGGAGGGAAAGGTGTGCTTATATGCTCTACTGTTTTGTGGGGTTCTCACTTATACCAGCTGCACTGTAGCTATCATCCAGCCTGCTTCATCACTTAAAGCTCTCTAGAGCAACCTAGGCTCACATAAACAGAGAGCCAACATGGCACTCATAGGTAACCATGTTGCTGGCTTGTTGTATTTTGCTGTTCTGCAGGGAGACCAGGGCCATAACAGGGCCACCTGTTCTAGTTCTGGAAAATACTGCTGAACATTCACTAATCCATTGGATTCCATAAGTCTCCAAAGGCAGACCATCTTAATGAGGCTTCCACCTGTGCAGGGAAAAATAGATGTTGCAAAACTAAACTTCCCTTAGAGGTGGTCTGACCATGCCAAGAAGGTCATTACAACCTGTCCTATTTTTTAAAACACCCTTCCAAACCCTGAAGTGAAGACTCAGTTTAGGATATGGGTTGCTTTATGTGTCAGGCTAATAGCATCTTGGTTGTCATGGAGTTCACAAAATCACAAGATAGCTCATTCCTTACAATTTCAGCAGGAATGTTGAGGTCACCCAGAATCATTCTCCTGGGGTTGGTCAACACCATGCTTGAGGCCACTTTAGCCAGCTCAGTCACAGATGCCATTGGATGGCAGGATGGGTGGCAGAGAAACCTCAGCTCCAATCTGACCCTTTGGCCCAATGGGAGGTACCTCAGGGAAAGAGGTTTCCTGGTAAGGAAGATGGTATCACTATGGACTACAGTGACTACTCACCAACTCAAACCTCTGCCCAACTGAACTACAATCTTGTAATTTAATTTGGTGGGTCTAACTTCTAAGCAGACATTTATAGCATTGCACTGGTAGCATAAAAGTTTGTGCAGTAGAATCTACCTCAGCACATACAATAAGGCTGCAATCTTATGCAGACTTACTTGAGACTAAGTCTTATTGAACGTCTGTGGCTGTTTCTTCCCCCTAGACCTATATAGAATTGCACTGTCAATTGGTTTGTCTTTAATGTGCCCACAAGACGGCTATTTTTGCTACAGCAAAATAACACTGCTACCCCTCTGACAGTTTATTGTGGAAGGTTTCCTTCATACAAGGAGTGCTTGAGCTGGCTTGCAAAGAGGCAGCTTAAGAAGTTTGCTGCAATTTGAGTTAGACTCTGCAGTGACAATAGAATTTTTGGTCTGAAAATCTAAATCGCTATCGACCACACGTCTAACCTGTAGTGTTTAACCCTGGAATATTTTTTTAAATCTTTGATTTATATCCTGCCTTTTTCCTACAAAGGACTCAAGGCAGCTTACATTTCTCCTCCATCTTATCCCCACAACAACAACCCTGTGAGGTAGGTTGGGCTGAGAGTCTGTGGCTGGCCCAAAGTCACCCAGTTGGCTCCATGGCTGAGCAGAGACTAGAACCCAGATCGTCTGAGTCCCAGTCCCATGCTCCGAACCACTACGTCACACTGGCTCTCCCATGTATCCCATGGCATGGGATTATCGGGGTCATGCTTTTAAAGGTTTAAAAAATCATTTTCCCCCGAATAAATAAGGCAGTCATACTAACGAAGCATCTCTCATTCCTTTCTATAGGTATTTCTAATTTCTACGCCGGGGTGGGGCGAGGAAGGCGGAGACTAAAAATTCTGTTCAGAAGTGAACCCGGAAATTGCAACTCTAGATAGGGTGGTAGATTACTCTAAAATTGTATCTCTACGGGAAGAAAACATGACTCTTCACTTCCTCCGCCGACAACCGCTCCGATAGGCCGAGCCTTGATTGGTGGAATTACTGCTGATAGAAGGCGGGTCGCCGCCGCCTCCGCGGAAGGAAGGAGGGAAGCGGGCGAGCCGTCGCGAAAGTGGCATTGCGGTGTGCGAGGGTCCCTTTCCGTCTGCACCATGGTAGGCCCTGGCGAGGGGACGGGTGAATTGGAGGCCGGGAATGGCGAGGGGAAGGGGGAAGGGGGTGCGCCTACGGGAATCGCCGGCTGCGCGCCACCCTGAGTCGGAGGCAGCCCGTCTTCCGTGCGGCCCCCGGAGCCGTAGCCGCGGCAAAAGGCGCCATCGCCCTCATGTCCCGTTTGCGGGCTTCTTGGTCGGGCATCTGGGTCCCCACAGCGGGAGGCGGTGCGCCGAGCCATGCAGGCCTTTGGCCTGACACCGCAGGGCTGCTCAGACTTTCGGTTTTGATAGCGGCCCTGAGTGGAGGCGGCGGCGGCGTCAGGAGGAGTCAGCATATTTAGAGCATTAAAAGGGCTTCACCTCTTTCATCTCGTTTACAGAAAGAAAGAGAAGCTAGTGTTACTTATCCCCCTTGGGTTTCCATGTTGGAGTTAGAGCAAGGCCTTTCCTTTTCCATAGTAATATTGGAACATACACAGAAATGCAGGCTGAAATGTATATTAAATAGATCTCAGCTTCTCTAAATTAAATCAGCTGTTCATTTAAGATTTAGGTGAAGTAATTTTAGAGTAATTAACAGCACTACAATTATTTAACAGTATTATATGTGTTAGATTTTGCTGATACTTTGTGCTCTGCAATTAATCTGTTCTCTGGCCTCACTAACCAAACGATTATTGGTGAGTGCTTTTAGGCAGTTTTTGAAGGGCAGCGGTGGTTATGTATTATATGGAGGACCCTGGACAGGTTCATATTTCTGTTGAGGTAGAGGAGTCACTGTGATGGTGGGGATGGGACATGTCAGATAGGATGACATGCAGTGCCAGTAATAGTTTTTGGTCCCTTTGGGTAACCATCTCAGCTATTCATTGAGTTTGGAGCTGCTAAGTGCCAGGTCAATTAATCAAGAAAGTACTATTCAAGATCTGCCTTTGATTGCATCCAACTGGTTTGTACAAGTGAAATTTTGATTGAGCATCTGCTGGATTTCCAAATATATTAGTGCCAAATTGATGGACAGTATATGTGAGAAGGTGTAGTCTATTAGCATTCCTTCTCCCTTTCAAGAAACTCCATCCAGCATTGAGCCAATCAGCTCTGTTCATCAGATGATACTGAAACTGTATTGGTGATGAGAGAGCAAATGACAGCAAACTTAACAGATTCAGTCACACAGCCTAGAATTTATGAATGACTCTATCCTGTGGCAGTGAAGAAGGCTTTCATTGACATTTCATCCCAAGGTTTAACAATGATAAGATGTTGTTATGGAGATTCTAGGGGGGTGCATTTTGAGTGGAAACATCACTTTCAAGATGCTATTGAGAATAGGATATGTATTGATTTGCACTTTTTCTTGATTTTTGCTTTAAGTTTAGTCAAGTTTCTGAACACAGTTGACCAAAGAAGAAGAAACTATGCAGTTACATTTGTTACATGGATGTAGAAAATTAGGTTTAAGCTCATCAAAGCTGGATTTTGGGCTTTTGCCCTCGTCTCCTTTCCTCAGTGAATATTGGGAAGATGTTAGTTAGTTATTAAATTTGTATGTCATCCAATTACTTGTGTCTCTGGATGGCTTACAACATAGGTAATTTGACAACCCACTCTGGCTGCAAGATAATAAAATGCAACAATAAAATTCAATATTAAAATATGTTAAAATATTGAGTAAATAAAAAGGTCTTAACCTGGCACTGAAAAACATATAATGACGGCACCAGGCGGACCTCTCTGGGGAGTGCATTTCATAGTCAGGATGCCACTGCAGAGAAGGTCCTCCTCCAGGTACTCTGTCTCCTAACATCTTTCACAGAGGGTTCCTGGAGGAGGGCTTCTGTTGCCGATCTCAAGGGGCAGGAGGGCAAATAGGGAAAAAGGGGTTCCTTTAGATATCCTGGTCTCAAGCCATTTAGGACTTTATAGGTAATAACCAGCACCTTGAACTGACCCCAGACTTCAATGGGAAGCCAATGGAGCTGATAAGAGGACTAGGGTTATATGAGAATATCAAATCTTGAAGCAAATCATGTACTTTGATTCTGATTAGTTTACACTGAAGTCCTGAAGACTTTGTAGTGTGCAAATAGCTGATAAAAGTGGGTGCCACGTTAGAGCTCATTCACAATGATCTTTTGCCATTTGCCTGCACACTAGAGGCTTGTTATACCTTTTTAATTCTTTTAAAGTCTTCAGCGCAATGAGCACTGAAAAAAACGGTTTCCTGACCATATTAATTATTCTTTCTCTTTTCCTAGTCTATTATGTCCTATAATGGGGGGGCTGTAATGGCCATGAAAGGAAAAAACTGTGTGGCCATTGCTGCTGACCGGAGGTTTGGCATTCAAGCTCAGATGGTTACTACAGATTTCCAGAAAATTTTCCCAATGGGAGACAGATTATTCATAGGTTTGGCTGGACTTGCAACGGATGTACAGACAGTGTAAGTATGTATAAGCAAGAAAATGATGGCTACCAATTTGGATGATTTTAAAAGGGGATTGGATGAATGCATAGAGGACATCAGTAACTACTAGTCTTGATTGTTATATGCTGCCTCTGGTAGCAGAATAGCTATATACACCATTTGTTGGGATACATGAGTGGGAGGGTGCTGTTGCACCAATGTGGGCTTCCCCTGGGTGCCCAGTTGTTGATTTTGTGAACAGAATGCTGCCAGTTTTAGATTCTTAGTTTTAGATTCTCTTACCACTGTGGTCCAGTGGTAGAGAATGGGAGACGGCTGCTAGAATGCTTTCTCAGTTGTTCTGCAGCCTGCGATACCAACTGTGTGGAATGGGAAGAACAGCACACTTGGCTGTTGTTAGAAAACTGGCAAGATCAACACCAATCACACACTTTTCCCCATCAGTTAACGGGCAGGGAGAACCTTCCCTAGTCTGGTGCCCCCTTGCGTTCCTGCCAACCCCAGCCCATTTCCAAAAGTGAGGAATGCTGGAAGTTATATCCCAAACATCTGGGAGGCACAAGGTTGAGGCAAGTTGGCATGAGGGCTGAGATTCCCTTTGTCTGTGGAGCCAAGCATGAATGCACGGAAGTAAAGCAAATGGAATGTGCAAGTCATAGATCAAGGAGCAATGAGCAGCAAGCTTGGATGACATGCCCCAAGCAAACACGTTTTGCTTTGTCTGGCCATCATGGTAATGGAAGCAGTCAGACTGCATGCAGCTTGTTCATAATCAGCCAGGATTTTGGGGAACATAGTATGTTTTGAGATACTCATATGCGCTACCTCAAGTCACAAGAACTAAATCTATATTTCAAATTCTTGTCTCTTCTTAACAGTGCCCAGAGGCTGAAGTTCCGGCTGAATCTGTACGAACTGAAAGAAGGCAGGCAAATCAAACCACAGACACTAATGAGCATGGTGTCCAACCTCCTATATGAAAGACGGTAAAGGATCACGCGTCTGAGATGCTGATTGCTGTTAGCTAACACCTAAAATACACTGCAGCTAAGAATGTCATGACATGAGGAATTGTTTGTGCCCCACACTACTAATTGTATCTCCTGAATGATTGTCTTGCTACTAGTATGTGAGGACCCAGGACTGAAGATGAATTCTGGCTGACTTTGTTCATTGATTTTTGAGAAAGTACAGGCTTAGGAAGCACCATTGCCTGAAGACTGGATTTTCCATTAGCAGATACCCAGAAATCAGCACATGTAGTTCATACCATAAACTGTAAGCTGGTACATGAGAAAATGTGTGCAACATTGCTGTAATTGATGCTGGCCAGAACTTTAGCAATACATGGGCAAGGGAGAATTCTTTTCCCACATATTAAACATAAACTACACATTTAAAAGGAAATTCAAGTGGATATAGTTTCTTGCCAGCCAGCATCCTGTCTTCCTTTTTTCAAAGCTGGGTTTATATATTTTTTCAATATGTTTATGTATATATCAGTTTTTGGGAAGACTGTAACATTGATACCAGCCATTTTTGGTATTTATAGGTTTGGACCTTACTACACAGAACCAGTGATAGCTGGGTTGGACCCAGTCACGTATGAACCATTTGTCTGCTCCTTGGACTTGATTGGCTGTCCAATGACAACAGATGACTTTGTGGTCAGTGGGACCTGTGCAGAGCAGATGTATGGCATGTGTGAATCCCTCTGGGAGCCTGATATGGTAAGAGGAATGCAGAGGGCCATGAAGTGAGCTCCTATAGGTTTCATTTGTACTGTCAGCACAGTTTAACTCACAAAAGCAGCATCAGCTGATGCCTTTTATTGGAAGTTCTGTTTAGGCATTCATAAAGAGTATGTGACTAAGGCTTCAGGTCAGTGCACACAAGTGCAATGAGAGAAATATGCTGAGAAAGCACAGGATTCCTGTTTACAGAGGATTATCTTCATGTTCACCTGAATACACCAAGAAACCCAGTTTGGATTTCTGTGCTGTGGTCCATCTGGGCCAGGAACTGAATGTGCAGTCATAACCCTAGTCACATGCCCTATGAATGTGTATGAATGAGCAGAGCTCCAGTCTGTTGCAGTTATCTGTCATCCCTTTATCAAATTCCCAAGCTTCTGGGCCTTTCAAAGAGGCAACTTGATTCACTCCCTTTCAAGCAAGAATCATTCTGGATACAATACGTCCATCAATGTTAGAATAAGCCTCAAAAGGGGATTCAGCTAGAAGACATTGTTTCTCTTTTTTCCTTTGAATGCAGGAACCAGAACACCTCTTTGAAACCATAGGCCAAGCTATGCTCAATGCAGTGGACAGAGATGCTGTGTCTGGCATGGGTGTGATAGTCCATGTGATGTAAGTATGGGTTGAATGGGTGTGTTTTAAAAAACCCCAAAAACTTCAAAACACCTCCGTAGGTTGAGTAACTTTCCCATTGCCTTTCACAAGGTGGAGCCAGTGAAACTACTCATAAAATTAATTGACCCTCCTGGAGTGGGCACTAATGAATAACTGCTAGCTGTGGTTGCAGAAGAAAGGAGGGATGGGCTAATTTAATCTACCTAGGCTTCCCCTCTTTCTCCTGGGGGAGTACTGCTTGATGAGGTAAAATGAAAATGGATTCTGCTTGACAATAGTGTGACAATATTTCTCCCTCTCCTTTTTTTTTCATCAGTGAGAAAGACAAGATAACTACTAGAACATTGAAAGCTCGCATGGACTAACTGAAGTTATAATTATTTCAAAATGCTTGACATTTTCTCTTCTGTGGTCTTAGCAGCTGGAATGCTGATCCTGTTAAGGAAACCATGTAATTTTGTAGTCAGAGAAAGCTCTTCAGACTAAAGTCTATTGCTGGTAGAATAAAGAATTTTGCTAAGAATTCTACTATTCATTTATAATCAAGTTTATCACATCTTAAAAACTTTGGGTGGGTTGATACTGGAAAAAGGGTAATGTTTCATCAGTATTTAAAGAATATTAACCAACCACTTCTTCACATAGAGGCTATATTTAGTTGGCACAGCTAATATCTATTTAGGGTGGAATCCTAGGCATGTTTAGACGGAAAAAAGTCCTAGAAATCTTAGCATTCTCCAGCCAGCATGCTTATGGCAACCATCAGAAACTGGTGGTAGGAAAGTGCACAGCATACAGTCAACTTATGCAAAGTACTACGTATTTTATTCATCCTGTAAGCAGTTACCTGGAAGCAAGTCAGAGAAAGCCTTGGCTATTGGGTGGTACAAAAATTGAAATAAACAAATCCCAGTGAACCCAGTGCAGAATATGTTGAGTCGTTCTAGAAAGGACTGTATTAAACAAAAAATGGATAGTGGGAAGGCCACAGTGATATTGTCAAGCTGAGTTGAAAAACAAATCAACATTGTTTAAGAGCAGTAAATTGTTGTGGTTCCAACTGATGAAAGAACAATTAATCTTTCATTAGTCTTGCTGTTTGCCTTTAAATCAAGGGTGGGCAATGTGTGGCTCATAGGCAACAAGCAGTCCCCACTATGCCTTGCTTAGAAATTATTTGCAAGCTAAATTTAGTCTGTTTGGCACTCTGTTTTTGTTATTGAAGTTCTGCCTATAGCTCATGCTCTTTGGGCAGTTCACAACAAAGTAAATGTCTAGACACTATGGAGAGCCAGAATGGCCAAATGTAACCAGATAAATTTAATTGTAACAGTACTGTGGACTGGTTTGTTGCTCAAGCTCAGCAGCAAACGGGTGATTTCACTTTCCCCCTTGTTTTGAGAAGGCACCCTGTGGACTATGCCCTACAGGGAGTGTCTGAGGCAAAAAATGGCTGTGAAGTTTCTTGAAGCTCTACATAAATTGCAATTCAGTGTATTTACATATTAAAAATTTTAAGAAAAAATGTCATTTGAAAATCCTTAAAGTTTCCTACAAGCTAACTTACACTCAATTAAAAAACTGCCTATGACCTTTCATTTTAAGGACAACTTTGTAAACTGGGAAACCTCAGGTATTTCTTTATTATAGTAGAGCACTAGAGTCAAAAGTGGATAAAAAGTTAAAAGTCCCATTGTAGTTGTTAGTCGCGAAGTCGTGTCCGACCCATCGTGACCCCATGGACAACACTCCTCCAGGCCTTCCTGTCCTCCACCATCCCCCGGAGTCCACCTAAGCTCACACCAACTGCCTCAGTGACTCCATCTTGCCACCTCATCCTCTGCCGTCCCCTTCTTCTTTTGCCATCTATTGTTCCCAGCATTAGGCTCTTCTCCAGGGAGTCCTTCCTTCTCATTAGGTGGCCAAAGTATTTGAGTTTCATCTTCAGGATCTGGCCTTCTAAAGAGCAGTCAGGGTTGATCTCCTCTCCTCCTTGCGGTCCAAGGGACTCACAGGAGTCTTCTCTAGCACCACAATTCAAAGGCCTCAATCCTTTGGCGCTCAGCCTTCCTTATGGTCCAGCTTTCACAGCCATACATTGCAACTGGGAAAACCATAGCCTTGACTATATGCACTTTTGTTGGCAGGGTAATGTCTCTGTTTTTTAGTATGCTGTCTAGATTTGCCATAGCTTTCCTCCCCAGGAGCAAGCGTCTTTTAATTTCTTGGCTGCAGTCCCCATCTGCGTGATCTTGGAGTCCAGGAAAATAAAATCTGTCCCTCCATTTCTTCCCCATCTATTTGCCAGGAAGTGAGAGAACCGGATGCCATGATCTTAGTTTTCTTGATGTTGGGTTTCAAGCCAACTTTTGCACTCTCCTCCTTCACCCGCATCAAGAGGCTCTTTAGTTCCTCTTCACTTTCTGCCATGAGTCATATCATCTACATATCTGAGGCTGTTGATATTTCTCCCAGCAATCTTAATTCCAACTGGTGATTCATCTAGCTCCGTCTTTCTCATGATGTGCTCTGCATATAAGTTAAATAGACTGGGCGACTGTATACAGCCTTGCTGAACTCCTTTCTCAATTTTGAACCAATCAGTGGTTCCGTGTCCCGTTCTCACTGTTGCTTCTTGACCCGCATACAGGTTTCTTAAGATGGTCTGGTACTTCCATCTCTTTAAGAACTTGCCACAATTTGTTGTGATCCACACAATCAAAGGCTTTAGCATAGTCAATGAAGCAGAAGTAGATGTTTTTCTGGAACTCCCTAGCTTTCTCCATGATCCAGCGTATGTTGGCAATTTGATCTCTAGTTCCTCTCCCTCTTCAAAATCCTGCCTGTACTTCTGGTAGTTTTCGGTCCACATACTGCTGGAGCCTAGCTTGTAGGATTTGAAGCATCACTTTGCTAGAATGTGAAATGAGTGCAATGGTGTGGTAGTCTGAACATTCTTTGGCATTGCCCTTCTTTGGGATCGGAATGTAAACTGACCTTTTCCAATCCTGTGGCCACTGTTGAGTTTTCCAAATTTGCTGGCATATTGAGTGTAGCACTTTTACTGCATCGTCTTTTAGGATTTTGAATAGCTCAGCTGGAATACTGTCGCCTCCACTAGCTTTGTTGTTGCTCAGACTTCCTAAGGCCCATTTGACTTCACATTCCAGGATGTCTGGCTTGAGGTTAGTGACCACCCCATCGTGGTTATCAGGGACGTTAAACTCTTTCTTGTCCAGTTCTTCTGTGTAATCTTGCCACCTCTTCTTAATCTCTTCTGCCTCTGTTAGGTCCCTGCCATTTTGGTCCTTTATCATGCCCATCTTTGCATGAAACGTTCCCTTCATATCTCCAATTTTCTTGAAGAGATCTCTGGTCCTCCCTATTCTATTGTTTTCTTCTATTTCTTTGCACTGTTCATTTAAGAAGGCATTCTTATCTCTTCTAGCTATACTCTGAAATTCTGCATTCAATTGTTTGTATCTTTCTCTTTCTGCCTTGCCTTTCGCTTCCCTTCTTTCCTCAGCTATTTGTAAAGCTTCCTCAGACAGCCATTTTGCTTTCTTGTATTTCTTTTTCTTTGGGATGGTTTTAGTTGGTGCCTCTTGTACAATGTTGCGAACCTCTGTCCATAGTTCTTCAGGCACTCAGTCTATCAGATCTAATTCCTTAAATCTATTTGTCACCTCTACTGTATATTCATCAGGGATATGATTTAGGTCATACCTGAGTGGCCTAGCGCTTTTCCCTACTTTCTTCAATTTAAGCCTAAATTTTGCAACGAGAAGCTCATGATCTGAGCCACAGTCAGCTCTTGGTCTAGTTTTTACTGACTGGATAGAACTTCTCCATCTTTGGCTGCAAAGCACATAGTCAATCTGATTTCTGTGTTGACTGTCTGGTGAAGTCCATGTGTAGAGTCTTCTCTTGGGTTGTTGGAAAAGAGTGTTTGCTATGACCATTGTATTCTCTTGACCAAATTCTACCAGCCTGTGCCCTGCTTCATTTTGTACTCCAAGGCCAAACTTGCCTGTTATTCCGGTTATCATTTGGCTTCCTACTTTAGCATTCCAATCCCCCATGATGATCAGGACATCATTTTTTGGAGTTAATTCTAGAAGGTGTTGTAGGCCTTCACAGAACCTGTCAACTTCAGCCTCTTCAGCACCAGTGGTTGGGGCACAGACTTGGACTACTGTGATGTTGAATGGTTTGCCTTGGATTCAAACTGAGATCATTCTGTCATTTTGGAGATTGTATCCCGGTACTGCTTTTCCTACTCTTTTATTGACTATGAAGGCTACTCCTTTTCTTCTGAGGGATTCTTGCCCGCAGTAGTATACCTGATGGTCATCTGATTTAAATTCACCCATTCCTGTCCATTTTAGTTCACTGATTCCTAAGATGTTGATGTTCAGTCTTGTCATCTCTTGTTTGACCACATCCAGCTTGCCTGGATTCATGGAGCTTACATTCCAGGTTCCTATGAAGTATAGATCTTTGCAGCATCGGACTCTCCTTTCACCACCCAGATACATATGCAACTGAGTGTCCTTTCGGCTTTGACCCAGTCGCTTCATTCTTTCTGGCGCTACTAGTACTAGCCCTCCGCTCTTCCCCAGTAGCATATTGGCCACCTTCCGACCTGAGGGGCTCATCTTCCGGCGTCATATCTTTTTGCCTTTTGGTACTGTCCATGGGGTTTTCATGGCAAAGATACTGGAGTGGGTTGCCATTTCCTTCTCCAGTGGATCATGTTTTGTCAGAGCTCTCTGCTATGACCTGTCTGTCTTGGGTGACCCTGCACGGCATAGCTCATAGCTTCATTGAGCTACGCAAGCCCCTTCGCCACGACAAGGCAGTG